TAAAACTGTGAAGGACCTAGGCGTTACTCTTGACCCTGATCTCTCTTTTGACGAACATATCAAGACTGTTTCAAGGACAGCTTTTTTCCATCTACGTAACATTGCAAAAATCAGAAATTTTCTGTCCAAAAATGATGCAGAAAAATTAATCCATGCATTTGTTACTTCTAGATTAGACTACTGCAATGCTCTATTTTCCGGCTACCCGGATAAAGCACTAAATAAACTTCAGTTAGTGCTAAATACGGCTGCTAGAATCCTGACTAGAACCAAGAAATTTGATCATATTACTCCAGTGCTAGCTTCCCTACACTGGCTTCCTGTTAAGGCAAGGGCTGATTTCAAGGTTTTACTGTTAACCTATAAAGCGTTACATGGGCTTGCTCCTACCTATCTTTCCGAGTTGGTCCTGCCGTACATACCAATACGTACGCTACGGTCACAAGACGCAGGCCTCCTAATTGTCCCTAGAATTTCTAAGCAAACAGCGGGAGGCAGGGCTTTCTCCTATAGATCTCCATTTTTATGGAACAGTCTGCCTACCCATGTGAGAGACGCAGACTCGGTCTCAACCTTTAAGTCTTTACTGAAGACTTATCTCTTCAGTAGGTCATATGATTGAGTGTAGTCTGGCCCAGGAGTGTGAGGGTGAACGGAAAGGCTGGAGCAACGAACAGCCCTTGCTGTCTCTGCCAGGCCGGTTCCCCTCTCCACTGGGGTTCTCTGCCTCTAACCCTGTTGCAGGGGCTGAGTCACTGGCCTGCTGGTGCTCTTTCATGCCGTCCCTGGGAGGGGTGCGTCACTTGAGTGGGTTGAGTTACTGACGTGATCTTCCTGTCTGGGTTGGCGCCCCCCCCCCCCCTTGGTTTGTGCTGTGGTGGAGACCTCTGTGGGCTATACTCGGCCTTGTCTCAGGATTGTAAGTTGGTGGTTGGGGATATCCCTCTAGTGGTGCGGGGGCTGTGCTTTGGCGGAGTGGGTGGGGTTATATCCTTCCTGTTTGGCCCTGTCCGGGGGTTTCTTCGGATGGGGCCACAGTGTCTCCGGACCGCTCCTGTCTCAGCCTCCAGTATTTATGCTGCAGTAGTTTATGTGTCGGGGGGCTGGGGTTAGTTGGTTATACCTGGAGTACTTCTCCTGTCTTATCCAGTGTCCTGTGTGAATTTAAGTATGCTCTCTCTAATTCTCTCGTTCTCTCTTTCTCTCTGAGAACCTGAGCCCTAGGACCATACGTCAGGACTACCGGGCATGATGACACCCTGCTGCCCCCAGTCCGCCTAGCCTTGCTGCTATTCCAGTTTCAACTGTTCTGCCTGCGGCTACGAAACCCCTACCTGTCCCAGACCTGCTGTTTTCAACTCTAAATGATCGGCTATGAAAAGCCAACTGAGAGACCTGAGCCCTAGGACCATACGTCGGGACTACCGGCCGTGGTGACTCCTTGCTATCCCCAGTCCGCCTGGCCTTGCTGCTATTCCAGTTTAAACTGTTCTGCCTGCGGTTATGGAACCCCTACCTGTCCCAGACCTGCTGTTTTAAACTCTAATGATCGGCTATGAAAAGCCAACTGAGATTTATTCCTGATTATTATTTGACCATGCTTGTCACTTATGAACATTTTTGAACATCTTGGCATGGTTCTGTTATAATCTCCACCCGGCACAGCCAGAAGAGGACTGGCCACCCCTCATAGCCTGGTTCCTCTCTAGGTTTCTTCCTAGGTTTTGCCTTTCTAGGGAGTTTTTCCTAGCCACCGTGCTTCTACACCTGCATTACTAGCTGTTTGGGGTTTTAGGCTGGGTTTCTGTACAGCACTTCGAGATATTAGCTGATGTAAGAAGGGCTATATAAAATAAAATTGATTGATTGATTGATTGTGTTAATACGAAATTGTAACTATTTAGCACTATGGCCTATTTATTGGCTTACCTCCATAACTTACTACATTCGCACACACTGTATATATATATATTTTCTGTTGTATTTTTGACTTTGTTTTGTTTACCCCATATGTAACTCTGTGTTGTTGTTTTTAATCACACTGCTTTGCTTTATCTTGGCCAGGTCGCAGTTGTAAATGAGAACTTGTTCTCAACTGGCTTACCTGGTTAAATAAAGGTGAAATAAAAAAAATTAAAAATGATGTCAATTAGCCTATCAGAAGCTTTTAAAGCCATGACATCATTTTCTGGAATTTTCCAAGCTGTTTAAAGGCACAGTCAACTTAGTGTATGTAAACTTCTGACCCACTGGAATTGTGATACAGTGAATTATAAGTGAAATAATCTGTCTGTAAACAATTGTTGGAAAAATTACTTGTGTCATGCACAAAGTAGATGTCCTAACAGACTTGCCAAAACTATAGTTTGTTAACAAGAAATGTGTGGAGTGGTTGAAAAACGAGTTTTAATGTCTCCAACCTAAGTGTATGTAAACTTCCAACTTCAACTGTAGCATCATAGCCAAGAAGACTCAAGGCTGTAATCGCTGCCAAATGTGCTTCAACAAAGTACTGAGTAAAGGTTCTGAATACTTATGTAAATGTGATATTTCCTTTTTTTATTTGTAATACATTTGCAAAAATGTCTAAAAACCTGTTTTTGCTTTGTCATTATGGGGTACTGTGTGTAGATTCATGAGGGGAAAAAAACATTTAATCCATTTTAGAATAAGGCTGTAACAAAATGTGGAAAAACTCAAGGGGTCTGAACTTACCGAATGCACTGTAATGTTTGACTAAAACATAATAATTTCAAACCTTGCTTGCATTTGTATACGATCACGTCTCTTTATTATGCGTGGGAATACTTGGGAACAGATTTCTAAAATTAAAATAACTTGGAGCTGATTTGCTGGTGTTTTTACAGTCTTTATGTCCAGCATTGAAATAAAATCACCCGCGGGTCAGATTTGGCCCACGGTCCACCAGTTGGGGAACCCTGCTGAACCGTATGGCTTGCTAAATAAATGATGCAGTGAATGACGAAATAAAAGGATGCTATACAGCTGCAACAGATGCCTATACTAGGGTCATAGAAGTAAAGTAAAAGGTTCAGTGACAGCTTCAGACACTCAAGCTTACATAACAATTGAATAACTTGTCATGAAAGTTAACTCCACTCTGCTAAGAGGAAGTATACAGTATATAAACACACTTGCAACAGAAACTGATGCAATTGTATTGTAATAATATTCAAATGCACCATCTGCCTACACATGAACTCTAAAATCTCTCTACGTTCATAACTGTCGGTTGAGGCGATGCAAAAGGAATGTCTGAATAGAGAGATTGAGCTATAACAAACAATATTGAGCAAAACCATGTTCAACACTTAATTGAATTAGCATTTCGCAACCGAACAGTCAGCATATTTTGTGGAGGCCACCAGCAGGCATCTTGTATGGATCGCCATATAGTTAAAGAATGTCAGTGTAGCGGAGTGCCTTTAAAAACACTCACTTGGCATTCTGAAGAAAAATATAAATGCAACAATTTCAAAGATTTTACTGAATTACAGTTAATAAGGAAATCAGTAAATTGAAATAAATTAAATTAGGCCCTAATCTATGGATTTCACATGACTGGGAATACAGATATGCATCTGTTGGTTACAGATACCTTTAAAAAAAAGGTAGGGGCGTGGATCAGAAAACCAGTCAGTATCTGGTGGGAACACCATTTGCCTCATGCAGCGCAACACATCTCCTTCGCATAGAGTTGATCAGGCTGTTGATTGTGGAATGTTGTCCCACTCCGCTTCGATGGCTGTGCAAAGTTGTTGGATATTTGCGGAAACTGGAACACGCTGTCATACACGTCGATCCAGAGGATCCCAAACATGCTCAATGGGGGACATGTCTGGTGAGTATGCAGGGCATGGAAGAACTTGTACATTTTCAGCTTCCAGGAATTGTGTACAGGTCCTTGCGACATGGGGCTGTGCATTATCATGCTGAAACGAGGTGGTGGCGGTGGATGAACGACACGACAATGGGCCTCAGGATCTCGTCATGGTAGCTCTGTGCATTCAAACTGCCATCGGTAATTGTGTTCGTTGTCCGTAGCTTATCTCTGCCCATACCATAACCCCACTGCCACCATGGGGCACTCTGTTCACAACATTGACATCAGCAAACTGCTCACCCACACGATGCCATACACGCTGTCTGCCATCTGCCCCGTAAAGTTGAAACTGGGATTCATCCGTGAAGAGAACACTTCTCCAGCGTGCCAGTGGCCATCGAAGTTGAGTTTTTGCCCACTAAAGTCGGTTACAACGCCGTACTGCAGTCAGGTCAAGACCCTGGTGAGGACAACGAGCACGCAGATGAGCTTCCCTGAGACAGTTTCTGACAGATTGTGCAGAAATTCTTTGGTTGTGGAAACCCACAGTTTCATCAGCTGTCCTGGTGGCTCGTCTCAGACCATCCCGCAGGTGAAAAAGCCAGATGTGGAGGTCCTGTGCTGGCATGGTTACACGTGGTCTGCAGTTGAGGCCGGTTGGACGTACTGCAAATTCTCTAAACAACGTTGGAGGTGGCTTCTGGTAGAGCAATTAACATTAAATTCTCTGACCACAGCTCTGGTCGACATTCCTGCAGTCAGCATGCCCATTGCACGCTCCCTCAACTTGAAACATCTATGACATTGTGTTGTGTGACAAAACTGCACATTTTAGAGTGGCCTTTTATTGTCCCCAGCACAAGGTGCACCTGTGTAATGATCATGCTGTTTAATCAGCTTCTTGGTATGCCACACCTGTCAGGTGGATGGATTATTTTGGCAAAGGAGAAATACTCACTAACAGGGATGTAAACAAAATTTGTGCACAACATTTGAGAGAAATAAGCTTTTTGTGTATATGGAAAAGTTCTGGGATCTTTTATTTCAGCTCATGAAACATGGGACCAACACTTTACATGTTGCGTTTATATTTTTGTGAGAATGTATTCATTATCTCTCTTGTGCACCTTTCATCTTGAATTTATTTTAAACCCCCTCAATCTTTTCCCTCCATGGCATTTTTGAGCACCTCTGTCTCCCGTACATCTGTTCCCACAGATTTATGGTCCTGCAGCAAAAACAAAAACAAAAAAACTACACATCCTGCTTTAAGAAGAATAGTTCCTTTGACTTCAAGATCAAACCAAAGATAGCCGAACAGGAAAAACTACATTGTGTTAAATAGTGTAGGAACACTAAGTCGGTTTGAGCACTATCTTTTCCTACGGACATAGTGTAGGATAAGGAATGTTTTGAAGAGGGAAGGGTTTGAGAAGGTAAGCTTACCGAGTTCATATCCATGGAGTTCTGTGTCTGGCTGGACGAGGTGTTCAGAGGGGAGGGGAGCTGGACCAGCCTTGTCAGTCCTTGAGTGGTCTGCTGCTGCTGTTGTTGAGAAGAGGGCTGGCTGAAGAACGCGTACTGGGACAACTGCGCCTCCAGTGTCATGGCGTCTATGGTCTCCGCCTGAGACAGATGGACATAGGAGTTCGAAATTAGTCAGTGGGAAAAACTAAAATGATGTCCACAGAAATGTGATAGAAAGAAGAGTGACGGCAAAACTTAGTACAATCCCCAATTTCTGTTGGATGTTAAGATTCGCTGGAGGCTCCTGGTATATTACCTTCAAATCATTTGACAGGTGCTCCAGTTATCCAGAGCAACTTACTTTAAGTACAATCAAATAGAGGGGGGGACAACTACAGAGTACAATCATTGTAAATACACTAGAAAAGCTATTCAGAACTGTAACAATCACAGTGCTAGCAGGGAAGTGTACGGTACGTACTACCTGGGCGAGGGTGAGGGGTGGTGACAGGGTGGGGGAAGAGCTGTAGGGACTGGTGCTGGTGGGAGTCCTGGTTGACCATGTTGTCCTGCCTGCCCTGCTGGGCGGTGGTCTGTCCTGATGGGATACAAAACAGCAAACATCTCTTTCAGAATCCCAACTGTCATAGAAAGCTAGAGACAGAGAGACATATATAAGATACATTTCGGCAAACTGTCTGCCATGTTGGCATCATGTGGTATTATCATCTCCCAACTCCTGGTGGCAACATGAACATTCAGAATTTCAAACTGTGTTTCCAAACTCTATACATCTATGGTTCTGGAAGGTGGAGGACTGAGAGGTCACCTTGGCTGGTGGAGCTGAAGCTGTGTAAGTGGCTGGTGGCCAGGTTGCCCGTGCTGTTGGAGGCGCTGAGGGTGGAGTCCTCGGGGTCCAGGGGGGTGGGTAGCGGAGGGGGGAACTGGATGTTGGTCAGATCAGGCAGGGAGCCCCCGCCCGTGTTTTGGGCTGACGGCATCAGCGACGCGGTCAGCTCCTGATCCGGAGATGGGAATATGCTGTAAACCGAAAAAGAGATGATTGGTATTTCCATAATGACAGTTGAGGTAGTATATGCACAGTCAGCAGATTTCACAGGCAGTGTATGTAAAATAGCATAAGAAAATAAATGAGAATACCCCCCTCCCCGACTTCAGCAATATTTCCACTATGGGTTTCCACATCGTCCTTTGAGCCAGACAGGAAGTTGAGCATACAGCTTTACCAGCAAATGCTTTCCAGAGATACACTTCTCTTCATGTTTTCAACATGACCCCAAAGGAAAGGAAGGGAAATTGCCTCCAATTGTTTTCTCTCCAAATAAGCTCAGTACTAAGATATCTGCTGAGATCACTGCAAGACCCTGTTCACATTCTCAAAATACCAATATAATAACACCGTAGACAGCCAGATCTCGCTGGCTCTACAACACTTCTTAAAGTATGTCAATGATGTCCCAAAACATCACGTCTTCAGTTGGAAAAACATCAAATCATCACTAAATGCCAACTGTCGTGGGCGGTCATAATCAGCCATTCACAAAGCTATACTGAAGTCAGGATGGTTAGAGTTAGTTTGTGGAAGTACTCACTTGATTCCTGGGACCTTGGACCTTGATGAAACACTCTGAGGGAAACAGAAAAATGACAACTCAGTAAGAATCCAATAGAACTCAGAGCTGTATAACAATGACGTTAAGATATATCACCAGATCGGAGTGCACTTCACCTTTTTGCCATCCCAGTTCTGTTTTTGTTTGTCTTTGTCCATATCTGATTCTGTGTCTTCTGGCCCTGGTACATGAAGCAGAAGCACTGGAGAGGAAAAGAAAGGAAGGAAGAAAGAGAGAGAGAGAGAGAGAGACACACAGACAGAGAGCGAGAGAGAGACAGACAGACAGAGGTAGAGAGACAGAATGACAGACAGACACAGACAGAGAGCGAGTCAGAGAGAGAGAAAGAGACAGAGAGAGAAAGAGAGGGAGTTCGATTTATCTAATTGTCACTTATCTAGAATTTAAAAAAGCAAAAAAATACATATTGAAATACCCCTATTTTCATCTTGCCATAACAGTGAAAGGAAATGAAATCAATACGACTGAATTTGATATCATTTTTCAAACGAGTTTCTCAATAAAGGAATACGCTTCAGACAGCCATTAGTATAATGTCACATTGAGAATCACTTGGATATTAATATTCGTCCTATGAGTAATGTCTACAGCCTTCAAAGACAAGGTCTGAAGCATTTTATCATGTACACCAGAGAGTTTTCAATAGTACAATAAAGGGTAGCCGGCAAAGCCATTACTAAATATTTAATCATCAATACATCATATATCACCTCCCTCATAATAACAGGGTTAATTAATTTGCGCTGAACAGAAAAATCATTATTAAACCTACAAACTGGAAACAGAGCATTGGGTTATTGTAGGGCCAAGAGTTTTTGTTAACCACCTGACCAGAAAAAAATGAAGTCTAATGTAAAGTGTTGGTTCCATCTTTCATGAGCTGAAATAAAAGATTCCAGAAATGTTCCATATTCGCAAAAAAAAGCTTATTTCTCTCAAAATTGGTGCACACATTTTTTTACATCCCTGTTAGTGAGCATTTCTCCTTTGCCAAGATAATCCATCCACCTGACAGGTGTGGCATATCAAGAAGCTGATTAAACAACATAATAATTACACAGGTGCACCTTGTGCTGAAGACAATAAAAGGCCACTCTAAAATGTGCAGTTTTGTCACACAATGCCACAGATGTCTCAAGTTTTGAGGGAGTGTGTAATTGGCATGCTGACTGCAGGAATGTCCACCGGAGCTGTTGCCTGAGAATTTAATGTTCATTTCTTTACCATAAGCCACCTCCAATGTCCTTGTAGAGAATTTGTCAGTACGTCCAACAGGCCTCAAATCCGCAGACCTCATGTATGGCGTTGTGTGGGCGAGTGGTTTGCTGATGTCAACATTATGAACAAAATTCCACATGGTGGCGGTGGGGTTATGGTATGGACAGGCATAAGCTATGGACAACAAACACAATTGCATTTTATCGATGGCAATTTGAATGCACAGAGATACCGTGACAAGATCCTGAGGCCCATTGTCGTGCCATTCATCCACTGCCATCACCTCATGTTTCAGCGTGATAATGCACGGCCCCATGTCGCAAGGATCTGTACACAATTCCTGGAAGCTGAAAATGTCCCAGTTCTTCCATGGCCTGCATACTCACCGATTGAGCATGTTTGGGATGCTCTGGATCGACATGTACGACAGCGTGTTCCAGTTCCCACCAATATCCAGCAACTTCACACAGCCATTGAAGAGGAGTGGGACAACATTCCACAGGCCACAATCAACAGCCTGATCAATTCTATAAGAAGGAGATGTGTCGCACTGCATGAGGCAAATGGTGGTCACACAAGATACTGACTGGTTTTCTGATCCATGCCCCTACCTTTTTTTTAAAGGTATCTGTGACCAACAGATGCATATCTGTATTCCTAGTCATGTGAAATCCAGAGATTAGGGCCTAATGAATTTATTTTAATTTACTGATTCCCTTACATGAACTGTAACTCAGTAAAATCTTTGAAATTGTTGCATGTTGCGTTTTATATTTTTGTTCATTATATAAAGCTCTTATGTACACTACCAGTCAAAAGTTTGGACACACCTACTCATTCAAGGGTTTTTCTTTATTTTTACATTGTAGAATAATAGTGAAGACATCAAAACTATGAAATAACACATATGGAATCATGTAGTAGCCAAAAAAGTGTTAAACAAATCAAAATATATTTTATATTTGAGATTCTTCAAATAGCCACCCTTTGCCTTGATGACAGCTTTGCACACTCTTGGCATTCTCTCAACCAGCTTCACCTGGAATGCTTTTCCAACAGTCTTGAAGGAGTTCCCACATATGCTGAGCACTTGTTGGCTGCTTTTCCTTCACTCTGCGGTATGACTCATCCAAAACCATCTCAGTTGGGTTGAGGTCGGGGGATTGTGGAGGCCAGGTCATCTGATGCAGCACTGCATCACTCTCCTTCTTGGTAAAATAGCCCTTACACAGCCTGGAGGTGTGTTGGGTCATTGTCCTGTTGAAAAACACATGATAGTCCCACTAAGCCCAAACCAAATGGGATGGCGTATCGCTGCAGAATGCTGTGGTAGCCATGCTGATTAAGTGTGCCTTGAATTCTAAATAAATCACAGACAGTGTCACCAGCAAAGCACCCCCACACCATAACACCTCCTCCTCCATGCTTTACGGTGGAAAACACCGTAAAGCATGGCTACCACATGGCTACTGCAGAGATCATCCGTTCACCCACACCGCGTCTCACAAAGACACGGCGGTTGGAACCAAAAATCTCCAATTTGGACTCCAGACCAAAGGACACATTTCCACCGGTCTAATGTCCATTGCTCGTGTTTCTTGGCCCAAGCAAGTCTCTTCTTCTTATTAGTGTCCTTTAGTAGTGGTTTCTTTGCAGCAATGAAGGCCTGATTCATGCAGTCTCCTCTGAACAGTTGATGTTGGTGTCTGTTACCTGAACTCTGTGAAGCATTTATTTGGGCTGAAATATCTGAGGCTGGTAACTCTAATGAACTTATCCTCTGCAGCAGAGGTAACTCTGGGTCTTCCTTTCCTGTGGCGGTCCTCATGAGAGCCAGATTCATCATTGCGCTTGATGATTTTTGCGACTGCACTTCAAGAAACTTTCAAAGTTCTTGAAATTTTCCGGATTTACTGACCTTCATGTCTTAAAGTAATGATGGACTGTCGTTTCTCTTTGCTTATTATTTGAGCTGTTCTTGCCATAATATGGACTTGGTCTTTTACCAAATAGTGCTATCTTCTGTATAACCCCCCTACCTTGTCACAACACAACTGATTGGCTCAAACGCATTAGGAAGGAAAGAAATTCCACAAATTAACTTTTAAGAAGGCACACCTGTTAATTGAAATGCATTCCAGGTGACTACCTCATGAAGCTGGTTGAGAGAATGCCAAGAGTGTTCAAAGCTGTCATCAAGGCAAAGGGTGGCTATTTGAAGAATCTCAAATATAAAATATATTTTGATTTGTTTAACACTTTTTTGGTTACTACATGATTCCATATGTGTTATTTCATAGTTTTGATGTCTTCACTATTATTCTACAATGTAGAAAATAGTACAAATAAAGAAAAACCCTGGAATGAGTAGGTGTGTCCAAACATTTGACTAGTACCGTATAAAGTACATCCAGTTCAAATCCGACGCACCTCGTTTAAGCTGCAAGTCCTGTGAGCCTCCTGCAAAAATGTCCTGTGGGTTCAAAGTGCTCTGATGCAACGCAGAGTCCGAGTTTGTTCTATAGCACAGGGAAAGAGACATACACCACTTAGGGGTGACTAAATGTATCAGTTGTGAAAAGTCAAGGGACGTTTCACAACGAAATCCAAACAGTATCACATGCCACAACATAGTTGGATTATTTTACCTCCTCCAACTGGTGTCGGGTGGGGGTGACAGATACACCGAGCCATATGGACAGCTATCAATGTGAGACCCCTGGTTAAGGGCAATACAAATATGTAGCATCTCACAACTGAAGTCATGGATGTAAAACACCATGACACCATGTAGTACAGTATATGCTATTGAAGTACATTGGTTAAAGCTGTTACATAGTGGCGCTTGCTTCAATAAATAAAATACAATAGTTATTGGTAATTACCATATAATTACTATATTATTACAATGTAATTACTATATTACCATGTAATTCATAATTTAATTTCCGTTGCATAGCAGACTGTAAAATAAAGTGTAATAAAAACACAGTAGCATAAATCGACAGTAAAGGATATTTGGCGTCCATGTTTGTCGAGGGGCCTTCCATGTGGGGACGTGATGCGGTTTCTGTCCCGGTAAACTCTGTCAACCAATCCATGATGCCGTGTTGTCCTGCTGGTGTCACCTGAACCTTGAAAGGGAGTCTGCAGACACCAACAAAACAAACCAGTCTCAAGCTTCATAGATGAATGGTAGCCAAATATATGTCAACAAAAGAGTAAACGTGTTCAGTTTAGGGTAAGACCACAAATATTTCAATCAGAGTCCTACAAACACATACCTGAAAAGGCATGTCAATGGTGCCATTTCCAATCTGATTGACATTTGGCAATGATCCGCCATAGTACTGCCCACGGTTTTGTCCCAACTGTAAATACTGGGTCTTCTGTAACTGTAACTGAATAAGGAGAGTGATGAAACAAAACAATAAGCAAACATGGAGTCAGATAATGTTAGGTATGAAATATTTAAAAGGTAACAGAATAAATACTTCCAAAACAAAATGAGTGATAGAGAGCACAAAAGATCTGACTGACATAAAAATAAAAATAAACCTTGCTTGTTTTCACAAAATGTAACATTGATTTTATAGATTACAAATCACTCAATCTCAGTTAATACCAAGGGGATACGACTCATCTGGCCTGAGAGAGCACCTAATGATACGTGACAGTAAAATGTACACACCTTTAACCTCAATTGACCTAATAAGCTATATAGAGAATCTTTTTGCCAGCAATTACAGATCACCCGTGACCAAATATTGTTTTATTATTTACAAATCATGCCACACCGGCTCATCTTTACATTGATGGCGCCATAAATACATACAGTAGCTGAGATAATTATCACCGATATGAATGTATTTCCATCCTTACAAAAACTAAAAGGTCACACCCTTGTAGGTTCAACAGTTCACCTGCTATTAGTATGCAAATAGTTGATCTATGATTGGCCGTGAGTTCAGGTGGCAGCAGCCAACCACATACATTTCAGGAAGTTCAACTATGTACTAGAGAGACTTAGTAATATCATGAGACAATTATTTTGTGGGTAGTTTAGAAAAGGCCAGAGTGGGTGAAAATGCGCTTTAGTGATTTAATGTAACTTCCTTATGTAATAAAATAGATTTTATCAAGACAAATACGATTATTCATGTTCTGAATCATTTGGTGGGGTCTTTCTAACTTCACATTATATCCAGATAGTCGGATTTCGTAACCTAATACATCCGATAATAAGCACCGAGCTCTGTTGACATAGGACAGAGCTGGGATATTTTATTTCAGCTCATGAAACACCGGAAACAACACTTTACATATTGCGTTTATATTTCTGTTCAGTATATATCACCAGTGGTCACCAACCTTTTGAGTCAAGATCACTTTCGCAGTCAAAAAGCAAGCTGAGATCTACCGCTCAAATTTTTTTAAAACATGATTTAAAAAATGTAACATGAACCTAATAAAACCAGCTCAGCTGAGCATAAACATAAATCATTTGCAAAAAAAATAGCTTTTTTATTTTACTGGACTGATGGTACCTGCATTTGATGTTAATGGCGCTTTCAAAACAACTGGGAACTCTGAAAAAAAAAATAGGTCAAACCATGACGTCAGTGATCTTCAGGTCGGAAAGAGTTTCCGAGTTGGATGACCGTTCAAAATCCCAGTCGGATCTAATTTTTTTCCTGAGTTCCCAGTTGTCTTGAACGCACTGAAGTCGGAAGTCGTAGATTTCCGAGTTCCCAGTTGTTTTAAACACGGCATTATTCTCAGCGGAGGGAGGGAGAGAGCAGCAGAGGGTCCGCTTCTCATGGTCCCTGCTCTCTCCTTCCTTTCCTCCGGTGAGACTGACCAGAGAGAGGGGACACAGTCTTCCATCTGATTGCAAATCTCGAGTCGCACCGCATCTGCACAAATCCATGTTGTTCCTATGACTAGAGAAAGTGAAATATTCCTTGATATTAAAATAGTGGGTGTACGAGCTGTTAATAATAATAATAATAATAATAATAATAATAATAAAGCAGGGCTATGGATACACTTGGCTACTCATTCATTGCAGCTGCAGCGCGAGTGGAAGTAGGGAGAAGCGCATTTTATGTTTTGTAATAGTGTTGAATAAAAAACTGTGTTGACAGTGATGAATGAAAAATTCAACATGAACTCACTCATAAAACAGCTGTATTCTTTGACAGTCTCTTTGTAGCCATGGTTTTAAAAAGTGATTAAATCTTATGTAGGCTAGTATCAAACTTTGCTGTGGCCAGGGTCGTGGAAGCACTGTAGGCACAGTGATTTGAGCTATCTGATTGGCCAGCTCAGTAGCTGCACTGATTTAGCCACAGATCTCCTGTCCGCCGGGTAGGCGGTGTTTGTCTTTTCAGACAAATTAAATGGTTCATAATGGGAACACTTTGCTTACCCGGTGCGCAGGGCTTCTGAATCAAGTTCACCTACCGCCAATAGCGCAACACAAAAAAAAGAGCGCAAGCCTTTTATCACAGCCTTTATCATTGGCTTTTCTACATAAATGTTTGGTGATCAACTACGAATGCCTTGGTGACCACTGGTCTCCACATACTAAGACAGAGGTGCACTGTTTTGCTCGCACGGATGCTTTAACTGAGATTGATGTATCTTTCTGTCGGGTTGCGTCTCGGTCAAACAAATGATCAATATTTCAATATTTTATTTAGAGGGAGGAGGAGGTACGGTAGGGCGGGCCCTGGTGAGATGGCGGAGTTAGCCGTTTGAGAGAGTGGTGAATGTGCTGCTAAAAAGGCAACTCCGGGAGGGAAATCTGGGGGACGCAGGTTGAACATAACAAAAAAAACAGTTTGCAAAGAGGCAGGCGCGATTAGAATATAAGTGTTCTGAGCTTTGATCAACGTTGGGAGCAATATTTAGACCCATAATTGATTTTCTTTATTATGTACAAAATACTTTTACATATTGATTTTCGTTGTGTACAAAATATATACACCACCAGTCAAAAGTTTAGACACACCTACACAATCAAGGGTTTTTCTTTATTTTTACATTGTAGAATAATAGTGAAGACATCAAAACTATGAAATAACACATATGGAATCATGTAGTAACCAAAAAAGTGTTAAACAAATCAAAATATATTTTATATTTCAAATAACCACTCTTTGCCTTGATGACAGCTTTGCACACTCTTGGCATTCTCTCAATCAGCTTCACCTGGAATGGTTTTCCAACAGTCTTGAAGGAGTTCCCACATATGCTGAGCACTTGTTGGCTGCTTTTCCTTCACTCTGCGGTCCGCTATTTGAAGAATCTCAAATATAAAATATATTTTGATTTGTTTAACACTTTTTTGGTTACTACATGATTCCATGTGTTATTTCATAGTTTATGTCTTCACTATTATTCTACAATGTAGAAAATAGTAAAAATAAAGAAAAACCCTGGAATGAGTAGGTGTCCAAACTTTTGACTGGTACTGTATTTCAAATTAGAAAAAAAATACATTAGGTCTGGACCTCTGTGTCCTCATATGTACTGTAGTTACATATGGTTTGGACCATTGGTTTTCTTAAGAGGATTATCTACAGAATTAACATTATTTTACCCATTGGTCAAAATCAAAGTTTCTAAACCCAGAGGCGCAACATCGCAAGACTTCTGGGAACGCTTGCGAAGCAGACCAAGCAGAACAGGCCGGGGGTTTGAGACGTCAATGAGAGAAGTGAAAAATTCCTCCTTAGTTCCATAATTTTCTCAAAATCTAATGGCACAACCTAGATTCGAGCCAATGTATTAAGTGGTTGAACATGTTATTACTCAAACCTCGTGAACGTGGCAAACTGAAACATTTTCATTTTCGTCAAAAACAACATATTTAAAAAGTGCCTTAGATTGATTTGACGTACATGCGCAGTTCGGCGCGAGACGACCGTTTGACCCGCTGACATGTTTCTGCACATGAGCTTAGCTAGCCAAAGTCGCCATGACATCGCCTACTTAATACTGGACCGTCTTTGCTATAACGTTATCCAGCTAACTAGCTAGCTAGAGTGGCTAGGTAGCTGATCTGTTACATGTACGTGCTGACGTATCACTACGCAGGCTACTTGTGTCGAGCGTGGTGGAATGGGAATGGGCCTCAACCAATGAAAACGTGTGGTGGGCAGGGCCAGCCCGGGTCGACCCCGCCCATAGCCGATCCCGCCCCATTCCATGTGCCAAGGAAAGGGGTACTTGAGTCAGTGCGCTATGCCAATGTTGCTAGCTCTAGTCTATAGTATCTCAGAACCCACCTATGTAATAATAATGATGATAGAAAGAACCCTGTGAGTTTGTATTTTGAATTTCGTGGTCGCACATTGAGATTCTTGGTTGCAAGTACAGTGGGGAGAACAAGTATTTGATACACTGCCGATTTTGCAGGTTTTCCTATTTACAAAGCATGTAGAGGTCTGTAATTTTTATCATAGGTACACTTCAACTGTGAGAGACGGAATCTAAAACAAAAATCCAGAAAATCATATTGTATGATTTTTAAGTAATTAATTTGCATTTTATTACATGACATAAGTATTTGATACATCAGAAAAGCAGAACTTAATATTTGGTACAGAAACCTTTGTTTACAATTACAGAGATCATACGTTTCCTGTAGGTCTTGACCAGGTTTGCACACACTGCAGCAGGGATTTTGGCCCACTCCTCCATACAGACCTTCTCCAGATCCTTCAGGTTTCGGGGCTGTCGCTGGGCAATATGGACTTTCAGCTCCCTCCAAAGATTTTCTATTGGGTTCAGGTCTGGAGACTGGCTAGGCCACTCCAGGACCTTGAGATGCTTCTTACGGAGCCACTCCTTAGTTGCCCTGGCTGTGTGTTTCGGGTCGTTGTCATGCTGGAAGACCCAGCCACGACCCATCTTCAATGCTCTTACTGAGGGAAGGAGGTTGTTGGCCAAGATCTCGCGATACATGGCCCCATCCATCCTCCCCTCAATACGGTGCAGTCGTCCTGTCCCCTTTGCAGAAAAGCATCCCCAAAGAATGATGTTTCCACCTCCATGCTTCACGGTTGGGATGGTGTTCTTGGTGTTGTACTCATCCTTCTTCTTCCTCCAAACACGGCGAGTGGAGTTTAGACCAAAAAGCTCTATTTTTGTCTCATCAGACCACATTACCTTCTCCCATTCCTCCTCTGGATCATCCAGATGGTCATTGGCAAACTTCAGACGGGCCTGGACATGCGCTGGCTTGAGCAGGGGGACCTTGCGTGTGCTGCAGGATTTTAATCCATGACGGCGTAGTGTGTTACTAATGGTTTTCTTTGAGACTGTGGTCCCAGCTCTCTTCAGGTCATTGACCAGGTCCTGCCGTGTAGTTCTGGTCTGATCCCTCACCTTCC